TTGTTTAGGGTTTGTATGCTATTTTGGCCTTTTGTTTGGGCTTATGTGGGCTTAATGCCTTTATGAGCTTTACGCTTGTTGTGGGCATTATGTCTTTTATTTGGGCCTCTAGCCTTTTTGCTTTGATGTTAAGCTCAATTTGTTGGGTCTCACTTTTATGTTGTATTTTTGTGCCCTTTTGTGGGTTTCTAATGAACTTTAGTTCCGATCCAGAAAAGAAAAAAGAAAAAAAACTAATGGCAATTTTAAGAAATTCAATATACCAACATCAATTTTCTTTTTTTCTTTTTTGATTATTTAAGTATTTTGTGCAATTCAATTTTCCATATAAAATGCACCTTGTTCTTTAAAAAATTTCACACCACCAATATCATTCACTGCAATTGTTTCTACTTTCAAAGTCTTAATAAGGGGACTGATTTTCCCACTCCCTTTTTATCCACTTACACTCCATTTTTCTAAACAAAAAAGAGTGTAGGTGGATAAAAAGGGAGTGGGAAAATCATTTACCCTTAATAATATGCATGTTTGTCGTTTTGGAATCTCGTGTAAATTTGATTATTTTGTTGTTAAAATGTTAATAAAAAAGTAAAAAAAATTCACATAAATCAAATTACACCATAAAAATCCAAATATAGAGCCCCCATTGTGGAAAAGATACCTTTAGAGTCCAAAATATTTTATCGGAGCTCTAAATGAGGCTCTATCCACTGTTTTTAGAGCCTCATTTAAAGACTATGATTGGGGATGCCCTAATAAGTTTTATGGCTATAGCGGCTTTATTCCTTTTGTGTTGCATTTCTCTGAGCTCATTCTTTTGAGTTCACTTTGATGTACTGGCTATGGATTTCTATATCAATGAAACTTGTTTATGACAAAATAAATTAAAAATAAAAACAGGGTTTGACCTATGCCTAGAAGAGAAGCTTAAACTTTCAATAGATTAGGAGCTAATTGATCATGCATTTTTGTTTGCTGTTGCAGCCGCCGCGAGCATAACTCCAAATTTGGTATTCCAAGTCTACGCATGCATGGGTCTTGGCAAAACAAACAAAGCACAACTTGTGGTTGTAGAGGTCAAAATGATGGATGGACCATTTTGGAACTAGTGTACAATTCAGAACGTAAAAGCTTCACACAAATAAGATTAATTGTTCTTATGGATTTGTTGTATTCAGAGAAAACTTATTTAGATTGAAATAAAGCACCATTGACTTTATTGAAACGATTAATATGTAAGTCATCTACACGTACGTACATTTTAGATCATTGCATATGCTTATATCATGCATGAGCTCAGTCTCAGATATGCATGATGCATATATTGTTTGCCGCCCATCATATAATCTACCATGCAATGCCATTAATGGAAGATCTAAAGTAAAGTTATCTTGAAAGAAAAACTTTCAAAATCATCATTTCCTATATTTCAGTTGTAATTGGATGTTGATTGATTTGCATTAGGTGGCTGTATGATAAGTGACGTACACAATTAATCATAATGCACATGAATCACACTTGGGACGGTACGTTGGAGGTCAAAAAAGACAAATTAAAATCAGAATTTATGCTCTATACGATATGGTCAAAGCTTGATTGGAAAGGATCCACTGATGTACCATAGTGTAGTAGTTTGGAGTAAATGTTCTGGGTTTGAGTTCTAGTATTCGTATAGTGTGTTTGAGTTTAGTATGTTATCGCTATTCTTAATAGAAAAAGATCCTCAAAAAAGAAAAAGAAAAAGAAAAAGGTTGCTTAACTTGGTCATTACCCTGTTGCGTTTATATAGTTAACCTAGATAGCTAGCTAGATTGCCGAAATCTGCAAATGCTAATCCTTCAATATATGCACATATATTTTTGGGGAAAAAAAAAGTATATACACGTATATTCTGGTCCTACTGGACATATATGATGTTTGTTTACCGTATAGCTTTTATTTTGGCCACAAAAAATATAGTACACACATTTAGAATATATATATATATTATTCTAATTCACTAAATGTCATAGAAATTTGAGTGTGATCATATCACCTTTATATACATGTTTTAATATGAATGGACCACAAATTTGTACGCAGGTTGCGAAATTCATATATGTCGGCCGGCAAGCTTGTCTTGGCCCTCGGGCATCTAGGTAGATACAGAGCCTTTACAAATTTGGTATTCTAAGTCTACGCATGCATGGGTCTTGGCAAAACAAACAAAGCATGACTTGTCTTTTTTGAGGTCATAATGATGATGGACCAAGTCTACGCGAGCATATGTACATGCTTATATCATGCTTATATCATAAAGAAAAACTTTTAAAATCATCATTTCCGATATTCAAATGCGAAGTACACAATTAATTGGATGTTGATTGATTTGCATTAGGTGGCTGTATGATACGTGAAGTACACAATTAATCATAATGTTGGAGGTCAAAAAAGACAAATTAGAATGAGAATTTATGCTCTATACGATTTAGTCAAAGGCTGCTTGTAAAGGATTCATTAGTGTACGTAATGTAGTAATCAAAGGCTGCTTGTAAAGGATTCATTAGTTATAATATGAATGGATCACAAATTTTTTTTACGGTATAATATTAATAATAATAAATAAAATCCATGTTATAATGCAAAACATCAATGTCGTGACACCCTATCACTCTGAAATGTGTGTAGTCTACCTCTCAACAATAACATGTTTTGGGCCATAAAATTACGATGCACGTTGTGTGGTGGTCAATAAGCTATCAGATTTGCGGCTGGATCAGGTCCACCAGATTGACAAACTTAAAAATTATTAAGTCCAGACAAAGAAACTCTACATCCGACACAAAGAAATTTCATGTGTAAACACTGAGAAAAAGAATCAAAAGACAATTAGAATTCCAGGTGTTGTCCTTATTATAATTAATGAAGTAAGTGCATGCATGCTTCTATAGTGTAACTAGCCTTGATTTCATTACCTTGAACCAGGGACGGATCCAGGAATTTTCCTTCCAGGGGTCAACGTCCCAACGGCTACTTGATATTGATTTCGGAGCTGAGGTACATTCATCTGACCAATGTACCTTGAAGGCATGGGAAATTGAGTTGCAAAGACTTGCCTAGTTTCTAGCTTTACTGAAATTGTAAACAAAAAGAGACGAGAAAAATTAGATAAGGAGGAGATTTTAGAACGCAAAGATTCAGATAATTCATCAAGTTTAAACAAATCGACAAAAATCATCAAGAAATTGATAGATCCTAAAACAAGATTGATGCCGACAGATTGACAAAAATCCTCAAGAAACTGATAAACCTAGAAACAAGATCAATTTTTGGAACCAAATGACATAGTTAAAACTTGAAAAAAGAACAGAGCCCAATAATTCATCAAATCTATTGTTCTAGCCATTAGAACAAAAAATGGCAGAAAGGTCATCAAATTTAAACAGATTTTAAACAAAACAATACTAGAAAACACAAATCAATGATTCAGACAATTAATTTAACGAAATGAACTTTAAATTTGAACAAAAACAAAGCCCCAAAAAACCATGTTTATGCCAGAATATTGGCAAAGTACAGTGATTATTCAATTTCCAAATTTCTACATTTCTAAAACCCAGCTAGAAAGATCATAACTTGAAAAAGAATTTTTTTTTTTTTTTTTTCAAAACGTGAGACAAAACAATGTGGTTTTGGCCTTTTAAAAAAAAAAAAAAAACATTAGTAGAACGACGTCGTTTTGACGTCGAGGTTAAAAAAAGAAGAAGGGGAAGCGCGCAAGCAGCGCTGCGCGCAAGATCTCTGCGCGCTGGAGAAGCAGATTGTGGCTCTTTGGGGACTTTCATCAAACACTTTGCATGGGTCAATTTTCTCCCCTTCCATGGCAGATTTCAGAGGTTGCAGGGGTCACTTGACCACCCTTGCTCCTCTGTAGATCCGTCCCTGCCTTGAACCATCCCAGCCCTTGCCCAGACATTTCGTGGAAACCCACAATATTAATGTGGTCTGACTCTGGACTGGACTGGACCAGAAGAACCTCATACAATTGAGGGCATACACGAGTATTTGGTCCAACTCCAAAAGTGGCCAGCCATTCATACCACTACTCGACAGTAGAAATTGATTTTTAATAAAGATATAGGAGAGTCATAATCAAACTGAAAGTTTAGGAGAAAAAACGGAATAATAAAGATCTAAGATGCCAAAACAAGGTCAAAAATAAGTTATAATTTGAGTAAATTATGAGATTTCAATTTCAAGAACTCTGTTTGAAACTTAAAACGATCCTACTTAACTGAAAATGCTAAAATAGAAAATTTATCATAAACTGATCTAAGTCCTCGGACTATATTGCCATGTAGAATTACATTCCTTTTTTGATGTGTTGAGTCATATTCACATATTTACCTTTGTTTTGTTGTGTTTTTTCAATTCTTAGTTCCTATTATGTTCTAGCTAGGGAAAATAAATTCACACCTCCACAACAGGTATACTCGCACATGAATAGTTGAGATAAAACTCCATGGAAACCCTAAGAAAAAAAAAAACTAATACCTTGAAGGTATATATGTATATATATAACAAAAATGCTGAATATGTTAATTAAGCATGAATTGCCAAAGATTTGTTTCACATGGACTTGATTGTAGGTGGCCCCTTAATTTTAGGAGGTGTTTTCAAGACTTGCCATTTTCTAATAGTGGCATATGTTGTAAATTACTTAAAAATTGTAGATATACTTGCTTATTTGGCAAGGCAGGTTATTGGATTGCAATTGAAAATGAAAATCACGTGGACTATACATCCATTACATCTTGATCAAATCGGACCCACATCTAAGAACCCTTTAATTTAAAAAACATTTATGGAAGTATTAAATATATACACATTTTGAATGGTTTGACTTAAACTCTATAAATAGCACACACATTATACGAACCTACACAAAGAAATAATAAGAAAAGCAAAAAGACGTGTGAGGTGAGCACTAACTCTAAATATAAAAAAAAAAAGAAATTTGCATGGATTTGCAAGAATCTTCAGTTAAGAATCTTGTAACGAAGGTTAAACAAGATCTCTTAGCGTCATCAAAAGTTGATGTTTATTCTCTTGTGCCTCCTTCTCCTTATGACACTGCTTGGCTCTCAATGGTTTCCAACCCTCATCAATCAGATCAACCATTGTTTCAGGGGTGCTTGAATTGGGTGCTCCAACACCAAAATAGAGGAGGCTCCTGGGGTGAGAATATTGCTCATCCCACCATAGAGTGCCTCACTTCAACTCTTGCTTGCATTGTTGCACTTACCACATGGAATGTTGGCCATGATGCCATTCAGAAAGGTACATATATATATATATATATAGTTTTTCTCTAATTCGGATGTCCCGATTTTATTAAAGTCCAGTTCTTTACATTTGCTCTAATCATTATTGGATTGTTTCAATTACTAATGCATTACGTGCAACGAACATTACACTATTTCAGTAGGTTAATTCAAGAGAACTGGACTTTAAAAAGAAAGTAACCAATTATGAAAAATACCCAATTTTGCATATAACTAATTGCTGCAAACTTTTCTTAATTTGTTGTGTTTGTTGACTCGACTGTGTATATGTATGTTTAGGGTTGGCATTCATCCATGCAAACACAGAGAAGCTCTTGGAAGAGCAGAACGGTTCTTTTCTTGAGTGGTTTGCAATAGTTTTCCCCGCAATGATTGAACTTGCAGAAACCAAAGGCCTACATGTTTACTTTTCTAATGGGTCAGCAGCGCTGGTAGAACAAGTCTTCCTGGAGAGACAACAAATATTCAAAACGAAGAGGTAGATCTAAATTTTAATTTCTCTTTATGTTTAATACGAAGTACACTTTATGATAGACTTAATATGGCCAGTCAAACCTAAAAAACTTACATGTAATGGGGATAGCACTGTTATGCTATCCCCGGCTAATAACACAATGACATGTGTGGAAAAGTTGTTTTGCGTTATTGGCTGGGGATAGCAAAAAGTGCTATCCCCGATACATGAGAGTTTCTCTCTAGTGAAACAGCATGCTGCCGTGCAATTTCCTAAGCCCCACCACCGATCCAATCAAGTGTCAACTCTTGCACGTGTTCTTTTGACTATTTCCGGCCAATAATGCTATTACACGCGTGATAATTTTTTCACGTGGCATAGCGTGATTGGTAGAGAAAAGCAAAATAGTGTTATTCCCGTTACAGCAAAGTTTTTCTCCTGCCGGGCCTAATATCCCAATTATGAAAATTAATCTAAGCCAGTTTTCTGTTTTGGGCAGCTGGGTGTCTGGTTGTGATCAGCAACAGTATTATCCAGCACGCATGTTAAAATATCTTGAGGACGGGTTAATCCAATCCCCATCAGCCATTGCATATGCTTTCATGAAGACAGGAAACAAGGAGTTTTTGGTGAAATTGAATTCTATTGTCCAAACATGTGGCTATGGAGGTACGTAGTTTTCTTTTTATATTTTGTATTATATGACGTCATTGTTGGCCTACGTAGTTTGTCACCTATATTACTGACGTTGCATGTATGTGTTAATATATTAAATAATGAAAAATTAACTAAATAGCAAGGAGAGCTTGTATTTCAAGTGGTTGAGAATAGTTTTTCCTGAATGACAAATGAGTTAATATTAAGGAGCTTGTATCTCAAGTGATTGAACACAGTTTTTCATATACCTAGGTTATGTGTTCGAGACCCCCTCCCCAATATCAATTTTATTAAAAATAAAAATAAAATAAGAAAACTACATGAGCTAACATAGTAGAACAATTTTGGTACGTGTACAGTTCCTGCGGTCCCCTTTGATGAAGACCTTGTAAAGATTCTTCTAATTAACCAAATTGAGAGGCTGGGGCTGGCGGAGCATTTCATGGAGGAGATTACAAGTCTGCTGGGCCAAGTTTACAGGTGACACCCAGCCCTTATCTTCAACATTAATTAAGCATATATAGATATATAAAGATAATTAACATGTCCATTTAATTAATCTGGTTATTGATTAATTATTTTTTCTAATCGACAAAGCAGAAGTTACATCAGCTGCGAAGAACCAAAGAGTATGGCAAAGCATGCGTTGCCACTACAACTCTATACACATTCTCTCGCATTTCGACTTCTAAGACTACATGGTTATAGAGTTTCTCCTGGTAAGGATCAATGTTAATTACATATATGTTTATTAGTTACTGCATACTCCAGGGCCATATTGAGAATGACCCCAAATCTTTAGGGGGTCTTTTGCCGTTAGCCCTTTTTATTAATTGAATTGCACACTGAATGTTTTTAATTAAATATTAATTTACGTTTTTTGCAATTATATGCAGAGAAGTTCTGCAGGTTCCTCGAGGATGAAGATATAGTGGCGTACATAGAAGAGCATCATGAGCCTTTTTTGAGTGCCATGTATAACGTATACAGGGCAACTGATGTTACTTTTATAAGAGAAAATCAGCTTAAGGATGCCAGGGCATTCTCAAGAAGAATACTACAAAAGGAAACAATAAAAGACTCTACAAATTTGCAAGAACAGGTATATTTTATATTATTTGCGAAGAGACGAGAAAAATATGGACGTGTATTATTTGACAAAATTTTAAAAACATATGGTAAAAGTTTGGCCATTATTGTTCATTTAAATTTTTTAATGATAATTTTAATCAGTTACTTAATCAGCTCCTTAATTTGTTGCATATTTCCCTTGTGTAGATTAAGCATGAACTTAGTATCCCATGGCTTGCACGGTTGGATCATCTAGAGCACAGGAGGTGCATTGAGTGGAAAGAAACTCTTGGTCCATGGACAGGAAATGCCTTATCTTATAGGTAATTACTAATACTACAATTAGATTAAAGGCAGTCCAATTTTCACAATCAGGTAAATTACCGTTAATTACTTGATTAATTATTCCCTGCAGATTACTATCATGTCAAAGCAATGCCACGCTGCTACAACTTGCCATTGAGAATTATACACTGAGACAGTCCGTATTCAGAAATGAATTGAAGGAGTTAGAAAGGTACAAACTCTCCTAATTGTTTTATTTATCTTATTTTAATCAGTCATGAAAAGTGAAACCTTTTTTTTTTTTTTTCCTTTTGTGTGGTGAAAAATAATGCAGGTGGTCAAAGGACATGGGTCTTGCTGACATGGGGTTTGCTCGACAGAAAACTACATACTGCTATTTTGCAGTTGCTTCAACAGCATCGAACTCTTCCCTTTCAGATGTACGGCTGGCACTTGTGAAAGGTGCAATTCTTGTTACAGTTGCTGATGATTTTTTTGACAGGGAAGGTTCAATGGATGAATTGGATGCTCTTGCCAATGCCATCAACAGGTACAACGTAATGTTAAACAATGATTCTTGTATACTTTAGCTATATAAAGTTTGTTTCACGATGTGTAACTACAACACTCACTGTTATGCGGTATGCGTAGTGTTATGAGTACGACTTTATATAAAATATATATATAGTTCTCGCATTCAAATAGAATTTTGTCAATACTAACTAAATGTTGGTATCATATAAAATCAGATGGGAGCCAAAAGGCCTGACTGGACATGGCAAAACTATATTCAATGCTCTCAAAGACCTTGTTGATGACATTTCTGGGCAATTCTTCAATAAAAATGGATATGACATAAAGGCATATCTCCAGGATCTAGTAAGACTTTACTTTCAAACTTCGGTTGACAAAATTTTCTTACACACGCATTAGATCTATGGTAAAAAGTAAAAATGTTTGTTACTAATTTTTAACTTTTTACCAAATGAATCTTAGTGGTGCCAAACAATTGCAAGCTGGTTAAAGGAAGCTGACTGGAGCCGAAATGGGCATGCCCCATCAACAGTTGAGTACCTCCAAGTGGCCACAAGCTCTATTGCTTCACAGACCATTCTTCTTCCAGCTGCTTTTCTGCTTAATCCACCTCCAGAAATAGACATCCTCAAGTGCCCTCAAAGGCAGACACTTACAAATTCACTTATGCTTTTGACAAGGCTTTTGAATGACATTAGAAGCTACCAGGTGCATATTAATTTAATGACAAAATTCTTAATTAATTGTCAATATGTTTCAATTTTCAGTTTGCTAATGGTATAATTGCAGAGGGAGCAAGAGGAGGGAAAGCCAAACCTTGTTCTGCTACACATGAAGGAAAATCCAAATTTGGGGGTTGAAGAATCAATAGCAATTGTACAGAAGACATTGGATGAAAAGAAGAAAGAGTTTCAAGAACTGGCTCTGAGTAGTAATGAAATGCCAGAAGAATGCAAACAACTTCACCTTCACTGCCTCAAAGCATTTCAGATGTTTTTCAATTCTACAAATGCATTTGACTCCCCAACAGAGTTGCTTGCTGACATCAACAAAGCAATTTTTGATCCCTTGAGAGTGGAAGATGTGCAAGGATCATTTATGCCACTCAACTCTATGCAAGGCATTCTTGGTTTGAAGAAGGATAAAAGTTTGGCTATCCATGGCAAATCCCATTACAGCTCTTCTAAGCCCTGTAATGGGATTTTTGAGAGCACTTGTGCTATCAAAGTCCAAGGGAACTCAAGGAAAGACTTGGTGACCAAGCCTTATTCTAGAATCTTATCAGTAAAGATGAGAAACCCAATTATTTATACAACCTTTTCAAAGCCCAAAGCTTACATCTAAAGCTTCCTTTTATGTGGGTTCCTTTCTTTAATTTATGTGTTTCCTTTCAAAAGCCTTTTCTCTGCATTTTCAAATGTTGACCCAGAGATCCTCTACTTCTCCCTATGAACTTCCATTCCCTTTGTTCTACATCCCTTGCATCTCCCTCATCTCTCTTTCCTCTCATCCCTCCACTCCTCCGTCGACCCGTGTCTCTCCCCCACAAAATCTCAAAACCAAAAGTCCTCTACCCCTAAAAGTTACTTGGTTTGCCATTGGATTGCTACAACTGTGTTTTACTCCAACAACTCATTCTCAGATGTAACACTTCGATCTGCACTTGTGGGCTCTGTAAATCAATGGTCAATTTTGACTACTACTTGATAGATCGCTTGAGTATGATGCATGGTGGCTTGCTCCCCCACATCCACACTCTACAGATCTCCTCTCTTGGTTCTCCTAGACCTCCCTCTTGTTGTGGCAGGGCGGCGTATCTGGTGGTGATGACGGCTGGCTTAGTTTAGGGTTAGATTTTAGAGTTTTGGTAATTTTTGAGCTTTTGTTGTTTTGAGCATGCTACTTTAGTATTTTAGGTTGGATGTTTATTTTGTTAAGGAGCCCTAGTTTTTCTATTTTCTGACTTTTGTATTTGTGCTTCCTTGTAAGTTGTATCTTTATTTGGCAAAAAAAAAAGCCCTTGTCATTCCCTTCGACCCCAAAAAAAAAAAAAAAAAAGCTTCCTTTTATGGATACACTAAGGTCCAGTTTAGGATTTCTGTCACTTTTAAAAAAAGTTGCTTTTATTGTGCTTTGAAAATAATTAGCTGTAAAGTAAAGCAGCTCCATGTTTGGTAAACAATATTTTAAAACACTGTTAGTACAAAAATCAGTGTCAAAACCGTTTGGTAAATTTTAATATAAATTGTTGTAACTGTGAATAATGACTAAAATGGACATGATGTTGAAGTGTTATGGACTAATCATGTGATGGTGAAAGTGGTGGTGGTGGTGGTGGTGGTGAAGGTGGAGGTGGTGGTTGTGGTAGCGGTGGTGGTGGTGGTGATGGCAGTTGTGGAGGTGGAGGTGGAGGTGGTGGTGGTTGAGGTTGAGGAGGAGGTGGTGGTTGTGGTGGTGGTGGTGGCAGAGGAGGAGGAGGAGGATGTGGTGGTGTTAGTTTTAGGATTGTTAGAATTGGCTTTCCTTGCCAAATGTACACTTTCATGTAATTCCTCTTAGCTCATCTTTAGAAAATAGGCATTGGGTATTTGCTACAAAGTTGAAGTACATTGAAGAGCTTATGAGGCTACAAAACCAAGGTAATTGTGCATTCATTTATAATGGTCATTAATAGGAAAATCAGCATTTGCATCCATATACTTTGTCGAGATGACTAGTCATAAAGGCCAAATCAGCATTTGCTACTTTGTCGAGATGACTAGTCATATAGACCAAATCAGTATTTGTTACTTTGTCGAGATGACTAGTCATATAGTCCAATATTTTCCAGCACGGGATTTTTAACCAAGGGACGTGATTTTGCTTATTGTAAGTCCAATCATTGGCTGCCAAGTGTCCTTTTGACCTACCAAAAAGGCTAGGGCTGGTCTGGACTCACGAGCTCTCTCATTTACAATTTCTGATATGGTTTTTTTAGAGAGAGAGAGAGAGAGAGAGAGAGCTCTAGTGAGAGACTAAGTGCCTGTTTGGCATTACTTATTTGGGGTAATAAGTGATTTTTTAAAATTTTTGGGAAGCCTAGCCTGTTTAGTAAACTGTGAGAAAATCACTTATTGTTAAAAATTTCTATGAGAGAAAGCCATAAGGGAAAGCAGCTAATGAGATGCTTTCATTTTCTGATTATGCATAAATTAGTTTCGAAGAGGCGCTGGGTTTAATGATTATGCGGCAATTATTTTCTGATTATGCGAAAATCAATACCAACAACACTTTTAACAAAAAGTTTACCAAACGCCAAACTGCTTTCTCTCACAGCTGATTTCCCTCACAGCAAATATGACAGCGATTATTTTCACAGCACAGCAATGCCAAACTGGCCCTAAGTATGGGGTTTGATTTTTGAGAGGCATTTTTTTGTCTCTGTCAATTTCAGAGAGAAAGGTTTTGAGAGTTTTGATTTTGCTATGCATCTTCTCTCTGAGATTCTCTCTGAGAATGAGGTCTGCATCTTTGAGAGAGAGAGAGAGAGAGAGAGAGAGAGAGAGAGAGTGGTCTTCTTCTTCTTCTCTGCATTTGCAGCTGGGTATGATTTGAGTTTTCAAATGAGGTTTTCAAATAGCTTTTGAAATATGCTTTTATTTTCAAAATCTACTTTACCTATTGAGAAATTTTGAGAGTAAAACTTATACTCTGCATTCTCTAAGGTTTTTCATTGTGAGATTTTGAAAATGCTTTTTTAAAATCAGCATCTGGGTTCAGTTATGACTAGTCATCTTCTTATGTCTGCATATGGGTTCATTATGACTAGTCATCGTTCTTAGTCTGGATCAGATTCTTGGATGATTTCTTCAAGAGTATGGTTTCTTGAAGGAATTGACCCTTTCATCTCAGAATCTATATTTCATTATGTTTGTTCGATCTGGAGCTGAGTTGCCGGTGCTATGGAGTGAAGAAGCTGATGGACTAGCTGCCACTTACATGACGGACTAGCTACTAGCTCAACTATGTTGGAGAAGAAGATTGCTCGGAGGAGGTATAGCTTGTTTCCTACATAGATCTAGGATTTCTTGAGCCTGCTTGTGTATTCTCTGTAAGAATCTTCTTTGCTTAGTGGATTGCCTGGTCGGATGATGTCCCCCAGTTTTTCCCAGTGGTGGGTTTTTGGGTGAACAATTTTTTTGGTTTTGTTGTTCACAATTTTCTGGGTTTGTGTTCTTGATAGTTGACTAGTCATCGCATGATGTTCATGTATTTCTGGGTTTGAGTTCTTGCGGTTGACTAGTCATCATTATCTATTGTTTGTTGTTTACTTGTGTAGGGGTCTTTTTGTTCCAGCAGCCTGACTAATGGGCTTGGGCTGCTGTAAGAAGAAAACGAACAAAATCTCCTGATGCATGAGTTCAAGAACCAGACTCTTAAAAGAATTTTTAAAAGACTTGCTGAAGTCTTAGAAAAATACGTTTGGGTTCTTTTCACCAACAACCAGAAGAACGTATTAAGTTTATTAGTGACTTAGCTTGAGGAGCTTGTTGCATGGGAGCTAAGCCTTCACAAGTTTAGCAATTTGAGAGAGAGATCAAAGCATGAGTTTCTTTCAGAAAAGAAGGTTTAGAGTGGAAGAAGGGAAAATTATGAGGGTTTCTATCTCAGAAAGAGAGAAACGATGGAATAAAAGATGGGGTAAATTTCAGTTTGCTTGACAAAGCTTGGTCTTGCTCTGGAATGGTGTGTGTTTGCTGGGTAGAGGGAGTTTTCTTTTATAGGCGCTCAGGATTCTAATTCTATCAATCCTCCATTCCCACTTTTCCTTCGCTTCTCTCCATTCACTCCTTTTGGTGAAATCTCTTCCACCGGAGTGCAAGCCCCTTTGAGTTCCAAGGCTTTTTGTACAGCTAGGTCTCCCCATGGGGGTGAGGCGCCACTTGCTTTTTCCCTTGGTTTTCAAACTGGAGCTCGCAGAGGAAAGGAGAGAATGGATGAAGTTATTTATCCAATGGGTATTCCTTCTTCGTACATAGATTTCCTTTGGTCCTTGCCATGGTCCCTCGTTGACCACCTTGGTGTTCTAATAAGGGTGGAGCTCGATGCTGGATTTCTCATAAAGCGCTGGGCTGCGCTTTGTGCATAGTATTGGGTTATTGGCATGCTATTTCCAACATTCAATGGGTTTTCGTCAAGCTGCTGGAAACAACCCCTTTATTTTCATTTTGGGCTTTTTACTGATGTAGGCTTGTCTAAGTATCATAGAAAACTAGATATTCTCCTATGGCATTGGATTAATTTTCTCCCTCTCTCATGCTATCCCATGTGTTTGGGTCCGAGGAACGGGCTTGAATTTTAATGCTCCCAAGTGGCTTAAAACTTTTGTTCCTTGAACCCTCAATGGGCTCTGTGATCGCTTGTTTCCTTCCATACCACAACCTTCTCAGCAAGCCCCGGGTAATTACGTGGCTTGGGCCCACTCGAGCTTGTAGCATGGCTTGACGGCATTGCGTGTTTATTTGTCGTGCCTGTGCTTGAGTTTTATTGCGCCATATTAAGCCAATATCGAATTAAATGGCACCGGACAGGTTCATGAGTGTGAATTTATAAGGCCATTGCATTTTTTGGCCCTTTTGCGCATGCTTGCTTGGCGTGACACATGACCCACGGCTTATGTAGGCGTGTCCTACAATTTCTTTTATATCCTGATTGGGCTTCTTTTGCGACTAATTATTTGTGCCGGGCTAAGAACAAGTTTGGGCCTAGCCCTTGGATTTTTGGGCCTCAACAACTTGATTATGATGCTTTCACACACTTTCACCATAATTTTTGCTAGCACAGGGGATGCCTAGATTGACGGGTCCTTCTGAGTGCCTAGGTTGTTACTAGTAATCTTCTAGGCTTGCATGTACAAATTGGTGTGCTTTGTGTGTTCTTAGTTATGGCTTTCATGACTAGTTGTTGACTAGTCATAATCATCTTTGGTCAAGTTTTAAAGTGTGTGAATATTGATGTGTCTGTTTGAATAGCATTTAAATTTACCCCTCGTCACCTAAGTACCAATTTCAATTGGTATCAAAGCAACAACTCTTAACATAAATAGAGAGATCCTTTGAGCACCAACTCTCTCCGTCTGCTCCATATCTTTGTTTTTTTTCTTGCAGCCGACTGATTTCTTGTCCATGGCAGGCTGATTTCTTTGATTGGTCTAGATTGAGCCTACACAATAAGCCGAATCTCAAAAGTCAGCATTATACTAGAGCATATGCTAGCATATACGTGGATTCGCCCTTGGCCGTGATCGGGCCTTACAATCCACAATATAAATTATGGATCCTTCAATTTTATTCGCTGCAAGTTTCACATAACATTACTCAACAATTGCAATGGCTAACAAAGTCACATTTCTGTGTCTCTACATTATATCATCAATTTTGTTTCTATAAAGAATCACAATGGAAATCACCCCTCTACCAACCCAACCTCACACAATCACACACAACTCAAAAACTAATTCTCATATCCAATAGAAATGTATATAGGCATTTGTCACGAATACCATAGTAGGATGGGTAAATAGCCAATATATATGTTGCTAAAGGTCATTTTTGGCGTAGTGCAAGTACATCAATTATTGCAGTGCTAAATCCTACATAAATCCATGCCGGTGATAGTTAGCAGTTGGGTGGTACACGCAAGTCCTTCTGGCTCAAAGTTATGGGTTAGCCCTGGATCTGGTGGTGAGTGTAGCCAATCTCCCCCTAAACTTTTGTTCACAATTTAAAAAAAAAAAATTCCAATGCTAATGTTATGCGTTTTGGCGGAACAATAGAAAATATGAATTTAGATTACAATAATTCTCAACAAAATTGTAATAATCAAATACAATCAC